AACCCTAGCACCAACCCTTGGTTTTGTTCACCACACAGTGCATGTGGGCCCACTCAATTTGCGTTGGTGGAATTGGGCTACCCTTGTCCCACTACATTCACTAGCCAAGGCTTTAGGCCTCATATAGGTAACAAAACAAGCCCATGCTACATTAGGGAAGCCTATCTAGGCCCTTAGTAGGCCAACCAAACATGCGCTTAGAAGAACTCCAGTGGGGCCACTACTCCATTTTTAGGGTTTGAGGCCAAAAACGCACTCCAGGTGTTTTGTGGAGCACCGAAAGGGGTACTCCAAAAACTTTAGTTTTTTGTGGAGCCGCTTGATGGTAGAGTTGCTGGAGTGGAGCAGCCACCCTCCCTTTTAGTCTAGGCTGCTAAAAGTGGCTCAGCCAGTTTCCACGGGGTGGATCTTCCCAAAAGCATAATTTCCTCATCCGAACTCCAAATTTAGCTTTCTATATATGAATTTTGATCATCTTGGCAAGATGAAACACTTGCAACATATGCTTGAAACAGCTGAAACACTTGCATCATATGTCTGAAACACTTGAAAACACCGGAAAAAAACTTAAAAACACGTGTGTAGCCATTGCAAACATCAAGATAAAACACATGCAACATACGTATGAAAGCACCTGAAACACTTGCATATATATGCAACATCCAAATAAAACACTTGCAACATACGTCTGAAACAGATAAAACATTTGGAACATACACTTGAAACACTTGAAACATACGCGTATATCTATTGCAACTTGTGCAAAATCCTGATCTTCTTTTGCAATATTGATATAAAACACTTGTAACATACCTCTAAAACATCTGAAACACTTGAAACATACGCATACAACATGCGCTTTCAGCGCAATATTACCTTGCTGCTTGGGCAAATGGAGGCTCATCGTTGCGGAGCTCGACGCCGGCGCGGAGGTCAGTGGCGGCTCACGGAGCTCGCAGTAGCGCGGAGCTCGCCGGTGCGACAACGGCGCGGGCAACTTGCCGACAGGGCAGTGTCACACAAAGCTCCTCTCCTCGTTTGCTTGTTGAAGCATCTGTCGTGGAGGCTTGCCAACTCGGTGGAGCTGCCACGACAGACAGATGGCGCGGTGTGGGTAGGAGAAGGAAGCAGGATGAGTAGGCGGAGGTGCGGTGCCAGAGGCATCATTGCCGGAGGCAGGACCACGCGGGAGGCCTCAAGTGCGGGACTGCGGGTCCGGACACAAGAGACTGGGAGCCGGTGGCTCTGAGGCTGCGAGGAAGGAGCGGTGCGTGGTGAAGACAGGCAGGTTACTTGGGCCGGTCCGCAGGCCCAAGCAAGCAAGCGATTGGGTGGATGGACGTCCTAACCCCAGTATCTCCGATATAAAAAAAAGGGCAGCAGCAACGCTAGGTAACAAGATTGTTTTGTCTTCAATCAACAGAGAAAAAATGTGCTACACACATTGGTGTGAACTGCCGGGAGATGGCTGATGGCTGGCGGAGATTCATCATGCTTGTCTCCAGATTGCAGTTGCAGACGTGTCAGTTGGATCATGGGAGCAATATGTGCAGATAAAGAAGGGACAGATTCGGCCAGGTTTCTTGCCTCTGCTTCTCGCCAAACCTTGTGTTTGTGTGATCAGTTGCCCGATCCTCCGCGAAAATTTCCTATTATATCAATCAAATCAAACAAAAAAAAGTTCTTCGATTTCCCGTGAGATAATAAAGATTAATATATACCTGATCTGATCCAATATAAGGGCTCCTTCCCACCGCCGTCCCCCACCTATAGCTAGGGTTCCACTTCCACCGGCGCCCCGTCGCAACTCGATCGAGGTGACCGAGCATGGACATGCTGCAAGGCGCTCGGCTAGGGCTGGGCGGGTTCACTGATCCTCCTCGTCGACCGAAGGGAGGACGAAGAGCATCACCGACGACGAAGCTGTCATCCGTTGCCATGGCACCAACAAGGGCGTCGAGTTGGAGGCTCGTCGTGTGCGCCGACCGTGACGCATCCGCCGCTTCTCACGCAGCTGCGGCGTCCTTCCGGTCAACTCGCTCTCGCTCCGGCGCCGCTGGCGTAGGCTCTGGCCTGTTTGGTTCCCTCCTGGGCGGCGAAGCTGCTGCCTGCGGACGACGCCGGCTCGGCCCAGATGTGCTGCATGGCCGGAGCTTCTGCAAGCCCCTTGCCGACGATCATCCTCTCAGCAACGACGCCGGCGCCGCCTATGAAGGTAAACTAGCCCCCTCCCTCTTGCTTCGATTGCAACTCGCTGTGAACGCTTCACACTTCACAGTTACTAACATTTGCAAAATCGTGGTAGATGTTATCATGGCGGTGACAGCCGAGGACGTGGAGTCAGAAGAAGCAACATGGGCGTTATACGAGCGCTGGTGCAAGGCGTTCAACAAGAAGCGCGACAACCCCGTCGAGAAGGCCTTCCGGTTCAAGATATTCAGGGACATGGCGATGCACGTGCACAGCAGGAACACTGACCTGCCTGAGGACCCTGAGGAAGCCGCCATCTTCCTCGAGAGGAAAAGGAAGGCGGCTGAGTCCCTCGACGACGACGACGACGAGGAGCGGCTGATCGATGATTACTACCAGGACATGTTTCTAGGCGTCGGGGCCGATGGGGGAGACCCAATGAGCCACTTATTCTGGGGGTATTTGGAGTTTTTTGGACAATGAGAGCGCAGAGACAAGATCCATCTTTTTCAGAAATCCCTGACGACCCTGAAGGAGAAGAATTATTGAACTCCCATGATCATTATGCTTTGCCGTTCCATACATGCGTATTAGGTTATTATATGTTTCTGTGATATAGTTCTATCTATATCTGTAGGCGGTCATTAGTGTTGTTTTTTTTGGGGGGGGGGGGCATCACTTTGTTTAGACCACATGTTTGGAGCCCCGGGAACTAAATTTAGTCCGTCGTCTCCAAACATGACCTAAGTTACACCTAGATAAAGGGATGTTAAAATGGAGTGATTCGAGCCTTTACTAGTCTTATTATTATTTTTCTCCACCCCTCTGCCTTGGATTTGGACTTTACACTTGATCTCTTTTAGCTCATTGGATTGCCTCTGGCTTGAAAACCAACATACAAAACATCACAATTGTCTGATGTTTATTTGTTTTGTAGTGTGTTTTCAACATGCCAAAAAAATATTGTCTGATGTCTTGCAATGTGTTTCATCTAACAAAGGGTCATCACCTCCCATTTCTTTGTGGTTCTGTCACCCGTTAGCTTAGTTTTCTTCCTTTTGCGGTGAATGAAAGTTGGTGCCTAGTTTATATCAACGATAAAATCAATTGCAATAGAGATGAGTTGCTAGACCACGGCGAATAATGAATTCAATGATTAAAAAAAAACTAAATGATGGATTAAATTATAGAAGGAATCTTGGTTTCAAGGAAAAGGAAATCCAAAAGAAATGGCGCGGTTGCTGAAGAATTAAGAGAATTGAATTTTACTTCCTACAAATGGGGAATTTGCACATGCAAACAAATACTTTGCATAGATATGGTATAGTGACGTCAAGTTCATATTATATATATACCCTCTGTCCCCGAATATAAGGCGCGATTTGATTTGGTGCGGTCTTCAAAAATATATTTTAACCTATAATTTCTCTTATAATATATAATTTATAGGAACAAAAGTTTGATCATTAGAAAGTATTACTAAATACAAATCTAATGCAACTACTTTTGTAATACAAACTTTTGATATAGTTAGACTAATTGCTAGTCAAAGGTATCAAAGTTTGAATTTTAAAATATATGCATGCCTTATATTGGGGGACGGAGGGAGTTTAGGGTTTAGATAAAAATACGTGCATGCCTTAAATAATTGCTAGTAGTTTTCTTTGAAATGAGCTTCAAGCTATTGTGATCAAAGGGATTGGCCTACAAGTAAAATGGATATCACCTATATCGGGTTCAAAAATGGGCTAAATCAATTGACCCCCAGAATAGGCTTGGCCAAGCTTAAAGTTATTAGGCCTCAAAATGGGCTAAGCCCACATTATTTGGACTTAGTATAATCAACTTAGGTCCATCATGCACATGGACTTTTGATAAATTATGGCAACAAAATCCATTGCAACTCCGTGCCACGTCATCACCCACATATCAGCTCCCAAGGAAATAAGTCGTGGTGTTTTCTATAACGATTTGGGGGCGTCAAAGTTGTTTGTGACCAAAATGTCCTCAATTTGCGTTTCTCTCGCTTTGTCACAGGAGTGGGTTCGAGATGCGCCTTCTATGACGACAGTATTCGTCTCGAGAATGTCATCACAGGGTACTATAATAATAAAAAATAGATTTACTCACATGCAGTCGCCTGCTATCCTATTTATCTGTAAGTCGACGTGTCAGTCACCCGCGCCCGACCGCGCCTGTGCTCACGCGCGTGACTGCGCCCGCGGCTAGGGTTCCGGCAAGATCTCACTGGCATCATCGGGTAAGGTCAACGAACTCTCTATCCGACTCTCTCTCTCTCTCTCTCTCTCTCTCTCTCTCTCTCTCTCTCTCTCTCTCTCTCTCTCTCTCCTTCAACTCCGGTAGGATTACAAGGGGATTCGGGGGAGGCAGGCCGGCCAGGCAGTGGGACGGTGGAGGGTGGCATTAGGGCCTTGGCGGCGGTGGAGGTGACTAGGCCAGGTCGGGCAGGGGCATCGCGGGCGAGCTCGCCGGCACCCTGCCCTAGGGTTAGGGTGAGCTGGGGCGGGACATGGATGGAGCAGCGAGGCGGCCGGAGCCGCCAGCCGCCGGGGGTGGGGGTGGGGGCGGCGCGAGGACGAGGATGACGCCGGTGACCTTGATTGTCTTTACGGGAGGGCAGGGTCATTAGGTGGTGGAGGACAGTGGGTGGCGCACTAGAGGTGAGGAAGCCGTTGGCCGCTGGTGGTGGAGGGCAGGGGAGGGGCGGCGACGGAGGTGCGTGGGGAGGAAGACGGTCGAGGGGGCTGGCGGAGCTAGAGGTAGAAGATGACCGATGGATTTGCATTATTTTAGGCACCTGCCCCTATAGGCATATATACCCTGTGAAAAAATTTAGCGTGAGAGACGGCCAAATGTGTTATAATGTGAAAATTTAACGGCAGCCCAGTGAGCAGAGCTTGTTTTTGTTGAGAAGATAAATACCGCCAATCTTGTCTTGGAAACATCCAGCAGATGACGCTGAACGACGTTCCCTCCTCCGTGCCTCCAGAAGGGATCAAGGAGGCCCAGGATCCGTGCATGTCTTTGTTATGGAGGCCGACGGAGGCGAGTAGGTCGTCGGTCATGGGAGGCAGCAGCAGGTATCGCTGGAACAGGGGGTCGCACACCGCGATGTCCCAGCATTCGCGGAGGCGCCGGAAGTGGCACTTGTGTCCGACGAGGACACGCCCATCGCGGACATCATACGCACACCAACCTTGCGGACCATGAGGAAGGAAGGACAAGTCGACGGTCCGGGCGACACCACGGGCCACAGCCGCAGAGGGATGGGTCGCCTCGACAGGGTGGAAGCCATCGCGGTTGACGCAGCCGAGAAGTAGCGGCGGGTGGACGGAGCGGTATCGGCGGAGGAAAGACGGGCTGCTGATGAGGCCGCGGAAGGAGACGCACGCGGCGGAGGCGCGCGCGAGGTCCGCAGGGGAGGCCACGCGCAGGAAGATCTCCTCGAGGACATCGCTGACGAGTGCCGGCGGCGGCCTCTCCGGCTCCATGGCATCGAGGCAGGGGAGGACCGAGAGAGCACGAGACGCCATGGCCGACGTCCCTCCCGCTCCCGCCGCCGGCGAAGGGAGGAAGGGAATCGAACGGATTGGGGTTCGGGCCGCAGTAGTAGACAGACTCGTAGGGTACGAACGGATTTGGGTACGCCTGGAACAGAAGAGCTCGTGAAAGCGTATGTTCATGGGCCGGGGCCGGGCCTGGTCCCGGGCCGCCAGGGAGCAGCCGGATGGGAGGGGTTCTTTGGCAAAATTGAGGTCCAGACAGGGGACTGTATGCAAATATCTGGGTCGCAGTTATTAATTGCGGTCCAAATTTGTGCAAATACTTACTCCTAGTCCTAGAGGTCAACATTTTGTAAATAAATACTGTAGTTTGAAGTTTCTGAAAAAAGATTGTCAACGGCCGCGACATCACCACAGCTTTCTGCACATTGCATCAATTCTTGAGACGCTAGGCCGTGCCCAACGCTCCACTCTGGATGTATGCCTCGGCGTCCACGTTTGCTTGCAGCCTCCAGATCAGATCGAGTGTGTGCTCCGCAGCATGTCAGAAGCGCTTGCAGATGATCCTAGTGCTTGATCTGACAAAAGGTTAGGGCCACCGTCCCTAAGCGCGTTGTGCGGTTGTGGCTCAAAAAGAACTCTGACGTGCGCAGTTGAAAGTTGCCGTGCATGCGATAAAGCAGCCTGCGTGGGTCCCCCACACAGCCAATTACTGTAGTATGTGCTTGCGTTGTAGTATTTCATACTCTGCTGCTGCTTGATCTACGTGGATCTTTCTTGTAGTTGAGACTACTAGCCAGTGTTGGCTGCCCTAAAACTGAAAGCCTGAAACTCGATGCCAGAATTGAAGTTCTTCTAAGGCATTTCCTCGATGCCAGAAATGAAGTTCAAACAGTGACAACAGACAACCAACAACCTCCACTTGAGTTGTTGGAAAAGAAAGATCATGATGAACCCAAAAGGTACCAATTTACTATAGCCATTTTAATTCAGGGGCTGATAAGCCCACCGCTACAGATACAACATGAGAACTCCCTTAGCTCCTCAAGTCCACACCAAAACAGCTCCTAGCACCCTATCTAAAAGTAATACTATTTCATATCAAACAAAAAAGAAACATTTCCCCCATGAACAACAGTATTGCAGCTAAAAGAAATACTGTTGGCTAACAAAACAAAAGCTAATCTCTGATCTACTCTGATCTCAAGCACCCACCAGGAAGCAAGAACTTGAACTTGTCTGCGTTCTTGATCAAATGGGAAGGCAGATGCACGGCAGATGCTGACTTGGGTATCGGCCCCATCTTCTTGAAGAGGTCAGTGAATGTATACTCTTCAGGTAGCATGTCAAACAGGTCGTCCCCATTACATATGATCTTCTGGATTCTGTCTGGGTTTAGGAAGCTTTTCTGTTTCACTCGGTCTGCATGGCTGTATGCCTTCATCTTGAAAACAAACTCCTTGATGTTCCTGAAGCAGAAGCTGCAGTGCCAGCCCGCATCAGCCAGGATTAAGTTGCTCTGACGGGAGTGGCGATATGATGTGCGCTCATTGTACACATGTGCCGTCGCTCTCCAGCTGTTGTCATCCACAGGAAATTCAAAGGAGTACATGTAGTTCTTCATCTCAAGGTGCACGACTGGTGGTATTCCATCACACCACTTGAGCAGCTGCACAGTCTCAGGGGTAGGGATCTCATCAGCATCAGCCATGATCAGGATATCACCGGCAGCAATACCTGATCTTCGTATCAGCATATTAAGTGAACGGCGGTGATAGGCCTCAACATGGAACGGTTGCCGACGAGGACCAGTATCTAGCTCTCCAATAGAAAGCATGTCGTAGACAATCTTTGATCCAGCAAATCCAAAACGGCTGAAGTTTTCAAAAAAGGAGAGTGACTTGGGGATACCAGTGAAGGTGGAATTGGCCTCAAGGAGGACAAACCTGTCAACATATGGAAGGAGCTCACGGTACCGGATTTCCAGAATATCAAGCTCATTGCTGAAGAGGACGGCGTCAAAGACACGGCGAGGGGCGGGGAGGATGCCCCAGCCATGGAGTTGGCACAGCTGGGCCATGGAGATATTGGGGGCATAGTAGTGTGGGATGCGGGTGAATGGTTTAGGTGCTGTGTCCCACAGTGGCCTTAGAAGGTAGGAGATACTTTGGAAGTACTGGGTGACAGCAATAACAGACACGGAAAGAACCAGAACAAATGGTATCAGGAACTTGAAACGCAGAATTTTCCGTCTAGTTACGGGCGGATGAGGCAAGTCTCTGGCCATGAGAAGGCCTTGTGTCTAAGACAGAGGAAGAAATGGGCAAGGTGTCTGATTAGCATTCGAGAGTGCTCCAGATACTCTATCTTGCCGGGGGTGTGGCAAAAATCCAAATCTGAATGTAATCTGCATTTTGCAAGAGAAGACAGAAAATAAGAAGAAAAAAAACAGTAGTGACACAAGAACTGAACTCATATACAGGAATAATGGCATGAGTTACAGACAGGTTCATGCCCACTTGTAAATTTGCAATACAACTGACATGTTCTTTAAACATCTAAAAAGAGAGTACGACACGGAGACATGGATTGATATACACTCAGTGGCGGAACCAGCAACTTTAATTAAGGGGGGCCGAACAAACATGATGACACCTCATAAGTGTGATAAATATATACATAAGTGTATGTCTCAACAATTTTTCAATGCTTTTACATATGTAGTTAGTATTCATAACTAAAAATCACAATATTATGGTAAAATTGAGCAATATTATGCACTAAGACAAATGGTCCACTAACGTTCTACCAATCGTTCCAATAATCAAGGATCCAAAGGAACAGCATGTTTATCAGAGAACCACAAAAATCCCTGTCATAAACCATGACTTAGCCATTTAACTGTGTTCTTATATCTGAGTTATCCCAAGTTCCAACATAAACAAACATAAAAAGAAATCAGCAATCAGGCCTAGCAAGATGGGCTGTACTTGTACATTGGCGAAAGATCAGTGGACCACTACTAAATACACATTTCCATTCCAGCAGGACAAGCAAGCAGGCAATTCTCTGCTGCCTGAATAAAATCATCATTAAATCGAAACAGGGCATTTGTCTTCACCAATCTGCCGCATTATGGAAAGCATATTGGCGAATGGATTGATATAATGATATACACTAAGACAAATGGTCCACTACCGTTCTACCAATCATTCCATTAATAAAGAATCCAAAAGAACAGCATGCAGTAGAGCCAGCAAAGTTTATCAGAGAGCCACAAAAATCCCTGACATGAACCATGACCTAGCTATTTAATTATGTTCTTACTTCTGAGTTATCCCAAGTTCCAACAGCATAAACATAAAGGGCAATCAGTAATCAGACTAGCGAGATTGGTAAAAGATCAATGGACCACTACGAAAAATGCATTTCCATTCCAGCAGGACAAGCAAGCAGGCAATTCTCTGCTGCCCGAATCAAATCATCATTAAAATGAAACAGGGCATTTGTCTTCACCAATCTGCCGCATTATGGAACGCATATTGGTGAATGGATATCTCCCAACTGAACAGATTTCTCATTCTTCTCTTGAGCTGAACGATCGGAAAGCTAAGTAAGCATTACTGCACGCGTCAGGGACTCAGGGGAAATACAAAAAGGTGGAGAAATCTAACGAATACCAAATCTAGACAAACCAAGCTTGCTTCTAATGGCTTCTCCTCCTAAAGAAAAGGCCCCAACTTTGCGGCGCAAGATGCACGAGATCACCCCCACTGGGTGGGGTGACAGCTGACAAGAACAGGGTCGGACGGAGACGGTCACCTCAGGGAAGACAACGAGCCGAGAGGAGTAGAAGGCGGGGACGACGGGGAGCTCCTCCCATCTCTGGACGACCTGCCGCGCGCTCCGCTTCCTCCTCCTCCCTCTCCTCAAGTCCTGTCTCATTTAACCCCGGCCTCCGCTCCTCGCCTCCTCCGCCTCCCGCCTTGGCTCGTGCGCGCCCCTCCTGGACTCCTCCGCCAATCTCTCTCCAGCCGTCCGCCTATTTCTGTCCCGTCCTCCCCCTCCTCCCTCCCCTCCGATCCGATAGCCTCCGTGGTGGAGGCGGAGCTGCTGCTGCTAAATTTAGGCCTCTGGACACCTGCGGATTTTGCTTTTTGGGTTTAAAAATCAGGGTTTTTCGCTTTTACGTACAGGAGAGAGAGAGAGTGATGAATTGGGTGCATTTGATCTTGTGGGATATTCGGTTGGGTGAGAGTGCTTTTGCTTTGCCACTCCACTGCAGTGCCAGTGCTCGGCTACTCGCTCGGCGTCGGCAAGCTTTTGGGGGCGTGTGCGGCACTCGGCAGTGGGATTCTCTGCGTGGATGTTGGGTGTAGGATCTCGTGTTGTCCTTCGCCGTAGGATCAGAGAAATGATGCTCCTACGAGGAGCGAGTTTGACCGAAAAGACACGAGTCTTGCGAAACACCAAAGACTCCTGCACAGCCAAATATGGGTAGCACCACATGTTGCTAAGGATGATACACAAGTCATCCGTATGCTTTTTGCAAACGGCATGTTATGGCAACTATTATGACTTATCGGTGTATGCAATTTCTCTAGCTATTTTTTCACAAGAAAAGAGAGGCTTTTTATTGCTCAACAATCTAGTTACAATCTCGTGAAAAAATAAATCTAGTTATTATAATCTTGAGCAATAATTTGCTCAATACAAACTGGAATAACATTGTGCCAAACAGCCGAACTGTTGGACCTTAGCGCCCGTTGCACGAGCTCATGTGCAGCATAATTTCTCTCTTCTCTTGTGGACTACATTTCACTCAGACATCAGGGTTCCTGCCTGTCTCACTTCCTCCGCTATTAGGCATAGCGGCCCTCGATCCCTCGCCAAATTCTTCAACAGAGCCTGGACCGAACTGCAATCAGTTTCAAGCATCACCAGAATCTCAAGGTTTTCGGTAGCATATAAGAGCCCAGCACCTTGACTTCTTCAGTTCTTTAGCATCCCTAGCTTCCACTACATCTCTC